CATGGTTGTCGTCACTTCGTTTTCATCATTCTCTTAAAGTTAACGATTCAGTCCTTGAAACTTTAAAACAAATGCAGTATACAATAGATTTCAACAGTCGTACAATTCGGACGGTAAATACGGACAGTTTAATCGGCTACGTTCATTTACAACTTTTCTAAAAATGTACATCATATTTGAACAAAAGTATAATGGCAACGATTCGCTGAGATTAAAACTTGCCAAATTCTTTCAGTTTACGTCGTTCTTGTTTATCAAGCAAGGATTTTCCTACATCAAACAAAGATTAAATATTCAGAGCTACACTGTACGGCAGATGTTAAGAAGGGAATGATGTGATTGATCGTCAGGAACTTATGTCGTAACTGAGTGTGTGAAAGAAGATGAAAAGAATATAGGAACAAAAAGTGAAAGATTGTAACCGTTGGAATGTTGGTCCTCCATGATGGGATCATTTTCCGCTCCCTTTTTTCATGAAGATAACTCGGTTTCCATGTCATCAACCAAGAGTGCCTTATTTTAAAGGCAGAGTCGATTACAGTGACGTGGTAAGTACGATGTTTACACTAGTGGTAAGCACTCATTTATCAATCTTGAAATGGGGAAAGACAACTGATCCCGACCCTGACTTCTCGGTTCTGAATCCAAAGCTCTATCAACTGAGCAACCCTGATCCGAAGCAATCGGTGGTAAATTCTTTGTTCAAGGAATTCGTGGGTCAGACAAAGGTTGCTTTCCACCAAACTCGGTACGCCTGGAGTCGGAAGTAAACTTAATAACTGTGCCCCTACGCCGCATGCAAAAGACACTGGCACTAAAATGCACTTGACCATTTAGCTTTTAAATGCACTGAGGCTGGGATGAAAATCAACTCAACCAAAACGCTGTCCCTTATACGTTGGAGGACCGTCGATATAGAAGTACACATCTGGAATCGATCGTCTGGGAGCTACATTGGCACGTAATGACGAAGAAGGAACTAAGTAATAATGCGAAGTTTTGGTACAAAGGTCAGGAACTATTATAATATCTGTTGGATACTGACAAAAAATGAACGTCGGTAGTCCGTAATGCAATCAGCAGATATGAGGCTTCTTCGCTGGATTGCTTGTGGAACTGGAATTGACGTGATTCGAAATACGATAATTGGAAATATGGGAGACATTCCCGCTTGAAAGGTGCTCTCACCAGATGGAGGAGTTACAATTCTGGGGATTTTGGCACGCAATCAAGATAGTGCAGGAGAGACCCACGAGGACGATTCGCAGAGTTACTTTGGAGACGGTCGAGATTGGGACCCCGTTTAAGATGACGTGATCGTACGGAGGTGCTGGCATGGTATCTCGTTGAATTTCAGTTCTTTCGACTTATTCTATTGGTGGATGCTGGGAGCAGTTTCCTAGAGCGGTTGTGTCTGATTCAGTATGAATAATGGTCATTGAAAACGAACAATTCTGATCAATAGATTACTGACATTGTGAACGATTGACACTGTTTCTACAGTGCTCTTACCTCATTTTCTGGTTGGCGTAGATTTTGGGCTGAACGTGGCATTAGATGCTCTAAAGTTACCGCAAGTCGGCTGAACGTAATTTTCAGGAGGGTAGGCGCTTTCATTAGCAGCTGGCGGTTGTGCCTCATTGTTTACTGGCATTTTCAAAGGCATCGGCGTCACTTGGTTAACTTCTGGAAGAAAGGAAGCGATGTTTCCATTTGTCATATTCACCGTTGTAGCGGAAGTATTTCTGTTGGCCGCCATGGGAAACCCGACGCTCTGGTTTTCTTGTTCCAGCTGAAAGAATGCAATTTTAAAATTGATTTGTTTGCTCCTTGCTTTCATCTTTTGTCTGATTAAAATTAGCTTTTTGTTCTTATGCAAACTACAATCCGAATATTGAAACATGAAACTGCTAAAATTATTCTATATACTATGAAAAGATTGTCATTAGATCATTTCATAGTTATATGGTTTATATTATTTTGTAAGTGTATCACATTATTATCTTTAAAAAAAAACTTGATTTTAGGTCCATAGTTCATCAATGGATTGTTTTCTTGACGCTTGGCAAGAAACTTAATCTTACGAGTGTATCAACGTAGGAAATGTGGAGGCATGAAAGTTGTTGTTTGCAGACGACTGTTTTGTTGGCACCTTCCGAAACTGACCTCCTGCGCTTTCTGGAAAGGTTCTCAGCCGAGTGCGACGTGGCTGGCAAGCGTTAGAATTTGCCACACGCCAAATGCTTAGCGCTTTGTCGTTCTTCTGTCACCTGCGCTATGCGGATAAAGGGTAAGGCAGCAGAAGAGGTTGAGACGATCCTGTACCTCAGGTTCATGTCTAACGGTGATTGAAAATGGAATTAAGAGATTGATTAGCGACTTAGAATGGTCAGCGACGATTTGCATTAACTAGCCCAAACCGTCATGACTAAGCTAGAGCTGAGTTTGAAGGCTAAACTGTCAGTGTTCACATCAGTTTTGATTCCAATGCTCACACGATTACAAATCATGGGCCATGACAGTTAGAGTTCGATTTTAGTACAAACAACTGAAATGAAGTTCCTGAGAGGAATTATGTGTTTCGAGCTTGTCCGGAAGACAGATATTTGAGGGAGCTCTCGTGTACGTTTGCTCTGCTTC